GTGACGAAAAACTATTGTCTGTTAATTAGACAGTAAAATATCATAATTACTCAAGAACTTATATCCTTGCTTCTTGCTTGAAAAATATACTTCAATCGTAAAACAGCGTCGGTCACCGTCTTGGTTGAACCCGTCGCTTGCGACGAAGGGCCCAACGAGCGAATTAACCCATAGACACAGCCCACTGAGCTTCTCGCCGGATCTTCTCAGCGGGTCGCGTTTCCGATACGGTGGTAGATTCTGCGAAGCACTGCTCTTGCTAGGGTCAGTGTTAGCATCACTCCGGTTTGAGCCCCGTGACCCGCTCACCTACTAGTTAAGGTTACGCTGAAATAGCCTCTCAAGGCTTATCAGCTTAGGTAGGAAAAAAAAACAGCGACTTCCGGTAAACGTTCCCGGTAATGCGCTATTATTATCTAAAGAATTTCAAAGACTCTACAATATCCAAAGTTTTCAACAACAATGACTCGGCTTCCGGTTCCTATTCCGCAAACTTCCAACGGCTACAAGCCGCGAAGTTGATGTGAAAGCCCGATAATACACGACACATTTAATTCCAGTACTAAATATTACTTGGGTTTTTAAAATATGGAAGCGAGGAATGTGAAACAATTGAAAATCATTCTTTGTTTAGAGTAGCTAAGTTTCTGAAGTGTTCACTGAAAAATCGGTCTTGTCGTACAGAGGATAATGATTTAAATCACTTCAATGGTTCGGAGAGCATAGTGAAGGTCACTAGGAAGTTCCGAAGACGCTGTAGGGCCGGCGTCTGGTTATCAGAGCGTGGTGGTAATTGCTCTGAATCAACTAAAAATAATTTTTATTTCTTGTGCCACAACGAAGACTATATGATCAAAGTCTGTAGTACATTTAAGACCTGACCTCAAATAATCTAATCCTATTATTAAGAAAATGAAATATTAAGTTATGAGATAAAACTAAACGCGATAAAGTAACAGATTGAATTATTCGATAAAATTCCGTCTGGAAAGGTATAATCATATCATAGTGTTCTTCAATTTCTGAACGTTAAAAGTGTCTAATATAATATAAAATGTCTAATAAATCTACAGTTGTTTTTACAGATGTTCCGTTATAACTACTGAGCCGTGCGTCCGATTGACTTGAAACTCGGTATCCATGTAGAAAATACATGTACTTAATGGATAGGCTAATATTTATATGAATGTTGGACTCCTTAATAATATTGACAATAAATAATAATGTTAATTTTAAATTCCCAGCGAAGCGGGCGAGTACGGCTAGTTTCTCGTATAAGGAAAAAACAAATATCTTAAAACGATAAATAAAGTCCACGCTCAATTCCTACAACGCACGACATAGGTATAATCATAATCTTAGTTCAAAGAGTAACAAGTCTCGATCTAATAATCCAATTTAATAAGGAAATCAATTATACTTTCAAAATCATATAGCATTTCGTCAGGCAATCAAGTTATTTGACTTCATAACTATCATAATTTCGAAATGAAGGTCGGAAACTGCAGTAAAATTAACTTTCAATCGAAAAAATTCAAGCTTACAAGTGGGAGCAATTGCTTGGTATTATTGGGTGGAGATGAAACGAGACAACCCCTCGAGAAAAACAGTGTGGATCTACACCTGAATCGGAATCACGGCTTAGGATTAATTTGTTCTACAGTTCAATTATACCTTTTTGTTTTTTGCCTACCTGTCCCAGTAACCTCGATAATAGCTTCACCGAGCGAGTAGCCGAGCTCACGGGGCTCAGCATGTCATGCTAAATGTCATGCGCTGCTAAACGAATTTCTGTCCGAAATCCAGGATGCTGACGTGTTTGCCGATAGTTGGGAAATACTTTTGTCTAAAATAATGTTATTTTTAGCAAAATAATAATACTTAATAATTTTAGTAATGTTTTTGTGTTCACGAGCTAAGCGTTTGGTGCAAGCTGTAAGTCTGACTTTGTATTGAATTGAATCTATATATATAAAAATGAATTGCTGTTCGTTAGTCTCGCTAAAACTCGAGAACGGCTGGACCGATTTGGCTAATTTTGGTCTTGAATTATTTGTGGACGTCCAGAGAAGGCTTAAAAGGTAGACAAATATGAAAATGCTCGGAATTAATAAAAATAATAATTTTATTTTTCCTTTGATGTTTCCCCCGTCGGACGGATTCCTTTTGTTTGTTTTAAGTTTATTTTATACAAAAGTTTAAGTCTTTTATTTATCGATTGAGGCACTACGTAGTCTACCGGGTCAGCTAGTAAATAAATAAATAAACGTGCTAACATTAATCCTTACAAGGGCAGTGCTTTGCTGAATCTACCACCGGATCAGAAACGCGACCCACTGAGAAGACCCGACTAGAACCTCAGTGGGATGTGTCTGTAAGTTAATTTACGCGCCGAACCTTTCGTCGCATTGGACGGGTTCGACGGGAACGATGACCGGCGGTTGAGTTGCCTAAAAGCACCGAATGTGGATCAGATCCGAAGTGACTCCTACTTTTTACTGCCGAGGACGATCACATTGCGAAATAAGAGCCAGTAATTACGTCGAGAGCCATCTCACATTGAACTTGGGTTGAGCGTCGCGAGGAACGCGAGAGGCGTGACGTAACGAGAATGCTAAACATTTCCCGTGTCTGTTTGGCAATCGCATGTGTTTTCTATTTTATATAATATCTCTTCAATATGTGTATAGAAAGTAGGTATAAACTCGTTTCACAAAGAATACCTTAAACATCTTCGTTCTATAAGAATTTTAAGTTAAATTAATTATGTAAATTAAAGAAATGCGATTGATATTTTCGGTTTTATATAAAAATATATCTTTATTTTATAGTATATATTATGTAGGTGTTACGTCATACTAGATTTGTTTAAATTTCGTATTTGAATATTATATTCATGTGCTCATATTAATAATTAAAGAAAGTTTGAAAGAGGAAATAAATATAACTAATAGTAGAGATTACCGTGGTTTTGCCTGTATCAAATTTGTCATTCGGTAATAATGAAGCGCATTGCATTTTCCCAGAGTAAAGAGTTGCAGCTTCTGTATTTGAATCAATTTATTTTATTTATTTATTTTTGAAAGGGAGGGGACAGCCGTTGTAACTATACTGAGACCTTAGAACTTATATCTCAAGGTGGGTGGTGCATTTGCGTTGTAGATGTCTATGGGCTCCAGTAACCACTTAACATCAGGTGGGCTGTGAGCTCGTCCACCCATCTAAGCAATAAAGTAAAAACTATATCGAAAAAAATTAACAAGCGATAACATAGTCGGCGTTGTCTGGGTATTATGTAATTACCGCGTTAAAAAAAATCAACCCAGGAAGACCTATTTTGGTGCCAAATATTATCCAAGTCCGCCCAGTCTTTTGAATGTTAACGTAAAATCACTTTCAGTACATTTTTTTACTTAAGAGCCCAAGCATCAATTCTACTGTCTAATTTGGCATTTCCATGGAGTCCATTTATCATTTCGAAATCCCAATTGTATTGTAACGAACAGTGTCTACCCGACTATCGCTAATAGTCTATACCTATATATATAAAAATGAATTGCTGTTCGTTAGTCTCGCTAAAATTCGAGAACGGCTGGACCGATTTGGCTCATTTTGGTCTTGAATTATTTGGGGATGTCCAGAGAAGGTTTAAAACGTAGATAAATATGAAAATCCTCGGAATTAAATAAAAATAACAATTTGTTTTATGTTTATTTTATACAAAAGTTTGTCTTTTATTTATCGATTGAGGCACTAAAAAGTCTGCCAGGTCAGCTAGTACGAAAATAAATAATTTAAACACGATATGTAGAACCGTCTGACGCTGCATTAGCAGTTATTTCGTTGCAACAGTGGCTTCGAATACAACTCAAATTGGACGATGACATATTTGCGAAGCCCGCAGATTCCTGGTGTTTTTACAGGTGGTAGGACCTCTTGTGAGTCCGCATGGGTAGGTACCATCACCCTGCCTATTTCTGTCGTGAAGCAGTAATGCGTTTCGATTTAAAGGGTGGGCTAGCCGTTGTAACTATACTGAGACCTTAGAACTCATATCTCAAGGTGGGTGGCGGCATTTACGTTGTAGATGTCTATGGGCTCCGGTAATCACTTAACACCAGGTGGGCCGTGAGCTCGTCCAACAATCTAAGCAATAAATAAAAAAAAAGGAAAATTGGTATTCATTTCACCAGTAGACCTAACGTTTTCCGAATCCCAGAAAACAAACTCACGAATGTTTAAGTCGAGTTATTACAAAGTAATTATGAGTTATTCCGCGACTCGGTAAGGTTCACACGATTGCGCAATGCGACAACTCATCGCAGCTTTCCCATGACGCGTAACAAACGCGTATTCAGACCAGTTCCATGATAAATCTACGAAATGCAAACTAGGATGTTTCGTTTGTGACTACAATCTGCATTCCCTAGGGAAAAAAATATCTTGCTCTTAAATCTGACGTACAAGAAACTAATTGATGGTAGAATGTTGTTGTTTTTTTCTTTTTTTCCCCACCTATGCTGATAGCCTTGAGAGGCTATTTCAGCTTCGCCCTAACGTGTGTAGGGGAGCTCACGGGGCTCAAACCGGAGAGTGTTGCTAACACTGGCCCAACAAGAGCCGTGCTTCGCAGAATCTACCACCGGATCGGGAACGCGAACACTGAGAAAATCCGGGCGAGAAACTCAATGGGCTGAATGTTGTGACCATCTCTGCTCATTATATGAAGTGCATGAAGCATTAATTTAAATTATCTTTTTCCTACCTATACTGATAGCCTTGACAGGATATATCAGCTTTACGCTAGCGTGTAGGTGAGCTCTCAGGACTCAAACCGGAGGTTAAATTTAATACAATTAACCTTTAACCTTTTAAATCAAGATAGCCCCGTTAATTAAGCTTAGGACTCGTTAACTCAACCAAATGGGTTCATACGTTGATAGAATCTGCAACTGGTGAAAAACTTATTGAACTATTTCGGCAATTGAAAATGATCTTACTCTAAGCACCGGTGGAGGAAGTGCAGGAAGGCCGGCTCTTCGGTTCTGACGGCCGACGCTAAAGTCCTTGACCCAGGTCTGCGTTTTCTTCCTTTTGAGTTCGTCACGCTTCGAGGAGAACCTTTCGAATCTATACCGTTAAACAGAATAATTCAACAGTTTAATAAGTAACAAATTAACGTTTTGTATTTCGGTAACATTTAACACGTGTGACTTTATTAAGATCTCAATTACAATTTATCCGGTTTTGTCATGAATTCTAAGGTATCTTTTTGTTTGTTACTGATGCATTTTAATAAAAACGTACCGAAGAAAAGCCTCTTTCTGGTAGCGTGGATGAGCAGGTCTGGTGGAGGCGGTCCGAGCAGCTCCATGATGCAGGCTAGTTGTTCGGCCTCGTTCTCTCCCGGGAACAAGGGATAGCCCGTGTGAAGTTCCGCAAGGATACACCCTGGAAACGAACCTCGTTAATACTTTGTTTTACTTTTCAAGAAAAGTAGCATTGGCAGTTCACGGTACCACGCGAGAATCACATATAATTCACTATATTACTGTACTTGCGACCCGCCCTCGCGTCGCTTCGGAAACTGTAATTTATTATTGATTTCTTCACTATTTCATGGATGCTGTTATACATATAAACCTTCCTCTTTCAATCACTCTATCTATTAAAAAAAAACGCATCAAAATCCGTTACGTAGTTTTAAAGATTTAAGCATACACAGGGACAGACAAATATAGGCACAGAGAAAGCGACTTTGTTTTATACTATGTAGTGATGCTACAAGATTTGAGAAACTAGGGAAAGATTGGCCCTATATTATTTAAATTTCCGATTCGTTTTTGAATTTTCACTTTCATTTACTATAATTCCTACACTGCACACACTCAGGTGCATATTTTAAAACAAAACAATAGAATACATTTTCAGATACTTCGTATTTGGTAATCGAAAATTCTCGAAAAGATTGAGGCATAGCAAAAAACGCCGTTATTTACATTTTAAACAAGCATAAAATTAAGTTTTGAAACTAATTTTAGCATAAAGCGATTTGTACGGCTTTGTTTTGTATTTTTGTTTGTTTGTTAAACTAATTATTAGTTTAAATAAATGAACATTTTTTTGGTGTATATCACCTCGTGGGCCACCTGCTAATAATATGGTCTAGGAAGCTCAGAGAGCGACAGAGATAGAGAGAGATCCGGAAATACATGAAGACAGCGTCGGAACGGTACTTCGATAAGCCTATGCGTCATGAAAACCGCCTTATCGTTGCCGCCGCTGACTACTCCCCGAATCCTGATCACGCAGGAGCCAGTCACCGTCGACGCCCTAGACACGTCCTTACGGATCCATCAGATCCAATAACCTTTGCACTAGACGCCTTCAGCTCTAACACTAGGAGCAGGCTTAGGGACCCCGGTAACCGTACTCGTCGAACTCGACAAAGAGTTCGACCTGCAACCTAACCCATGCATCAGCCCGCTGAGTTTCTAGCCGGATCTTCTCAGCGGGTCGCGATTCCGATCCGGTAGTAGATTCATTCGCGAAGCAGCTGCTCTTGAGCTGTTAGGTCTCCTTCGGAGGCGCTCGGGCAGCTGTTAGCAAATCCCACCCCTTCTGGCTGAGCCTTCGCTCGCCCACCTGTCCTGGTGAAACTGGAAAGGCCTCCGGGCCACCAGTAATCATTCAATCATAAAAAAAAAGATAGAGAGAGCGACAGAGAGACATGGTCATATCACTCGATATGACTGATTAGAATTATTGTCGGTCTGTTTGTTTGCGAATTTCTCCAGAACCTCTGGACGGATGTTCAAGCAGTTCTTACAGATGAAAGTTATTTTTATTGCTTAAATAAAACGTGGTGGTGGACGTGGTGGACGAGCTCACAGCCCACCTGGTGTTAAGTGGTTACTGGAGCCCATAGACACAACGTAACATACAACGTAAATGCCGCCACCCACCTTAAAATATGACTTCTAAGGTCTCAGTATAGTTACAACGGCTGCCCTACCCCTCAAACCGAAACGCATTACAGCTTCACAGCAGAAATAGGCGGTGGTACCTACCCATGCGGACTCATAAGAGGCCCTACCACCAGTAAATCTATCAATCTGTCTATCAATGCATCGATTCACACTACATCTACGACGTACATTATAGGCAGAAAGACTTAGAAAGAGTTGCATGGTAAGGGCAATTTTTCTCACTTTACCAATCAATTTCTACCCAAGTCGCTCAAAAAAAGGTTTATTCCATAATGGTTGCAAAAATGCGCACAATTTCGACCTCTACAAATACTGGACTTCATTTGAAAATACTTTTTCGCTATCAATCAAAATGTGCAAACAAGTTTTGATCAATCTGAAACCCCGGCTCTATTTACTGAAATAACGTGTTATCGTTCGAGTCTCTAAGGATTAATGCCTACTAAGAAACCAGGGTCTGTTTGTTTGTTAATTCGATTCGATATTTTTTATTTACAGCATCGAATCTTATATGGGATGATCGTCGAATATTATATCAAATAAAATGTAGTAACGTTAAAAGATAATTACGGATTTTGTGAGTATAATACAATAATTTTTTTACGATTTTATAATGTTTGACGAAATAGATAGGCGGACAAAATACGAGATAAAGACTATCCGAGTGCTTAGCATCTATCGAGATCGTAGGCATCGGCTCGGCTGTGCCCTAACATTGCTAATGTCCTTTTTTATTCTATGAGGAATTACTGGTGGCCCAGAGGCCTTTCCAGCTTCATCAGGACAGGTGGGCGAGCAAAGGCTCAGCCAGGAGGGGTTGGATTTGCTAACAGCTACCCGAGCGCCTCCGAAGGAGACCTAACAACTCAAGGGCAATTGCTTCGCAAATGAATCTACTACCGGATCGGAATCGCGACCCGCTGAGAAGATCCAGCGAGAAACTCAGCGGGCTGATGCATGGGTTAAGCGCTGAGGTCCGTGAGCGACGGTAACCACTCACCATCAGGTGGGCCGTACGCTCGTCTGCCTAAAAAGGCAATAAAAAAATCCCTTAAAACATGTTTCAATGTGAATATAATACAATAAATTAATCAACCAATAATTATTTTTGTGAAATATCATGCAACCTCGCATCATGTCATATGTGTCACAAGTGTCACATGTCAAAAGTCATTTGTGTCACACGTCTTATGTGGCTAATCATTTGCACGGATGTAAATACAATAGCACCAGAAACACCTTATTGCTCTGCCACAATCATAGTCGCTAAAGTAATAGTATTAGCATGGCAAGTCGGATATAATAATTGGCATTAAGGCACTAGGTCATTTCCTGCTCTACTCATTGTTACGAGCTCATTCCAATTCATTATTACTTTATAAGTAATGAATTTTTATGCTTTAGTTTTATTTTCGACTTTATTGTGACCATATCTCATCCACAGAATTTCATGACATATAAAAAAGAGAAATATTATTCTCTTATATTATTAAAATGTCTAAAAGTCGTTGTGGCCTAAACAATAAGCGGTCCGGTGTATTCGTATCTAGCGATGCATCAGTGTTCGAATCCCGCAGGCGGGTACCAATTTTTCCAATGAAATACGTACTTAACAAATGTTCACGATTGACTTCAACGGTGAGAGAATAACATCGTGTGACAAAAATTAAACCCAAAATTATAATATGCGTGATTCTTGGTGGTAGGACCTCTTGTGAGTCCGCACGGGCAGGTACCATCGCCCTGCCTATTTCTGCCGTGCAGCACTAATGCGTTTCGGTTTGAAGGTCGGGTGCAGCCGTTGTACTGTTAAAAATTAGACCTTAGAACTCGTATCTTAAGGTGGATGGCGGCATTTACATTGTAGATGTCTATGGGCTCCGTTAACCACTTAACACCCAAGGTCATGAGCTTGTCCACACACCCAAGCAATAAAAAAAATACATCTTTAAATAGTATTTTATCTGACATAAATTCCGCGGACGTAGGTAGTGACGTAAAAAACAAGATTCTTACAAGTTCGGAAGTACACTGGCAGGTGAACCTTTCTCCTGCTTTCTACTACTGCTTACGTAACACATGGGCATAGTAAATGCAGACTGGGCGCGTCTTATCAACATAATCTTTCGCATCATTGAAGCATTCCGTCTCTTTTCCACTCTGTACATCAAAGAAGGTCATCGAATATCTACATATATCTCACGTTTTAATTGCGGAAACGTGAATAAAAAGCTGAATTGATTGTAATGACTCAATGACAATAGAGTTCGGCCATAAACAATTTTGTTGTTTGATAATTCATTGACATTTCTAGTTTAATTATTTCAGAGATGTTTCTAGTCATTCGAATACGTAATACGTGCGATCCGTTAACGGAAACGACACACATTAAACAATTATGTAAATGAAATGTTAATTTGTCCGTTTGAATCTATTCGTTTGATAGAGATCTCTTTTTTAGTTTACTGCTGTGTAAGGAATTTAGCTTGTTCTGTCTATGACGTTTTATTACAAGTAGGTTTTTGTTAATGTCAATTTATTTCCTTCGCGTTTAAAAAAAAAAAAGCAAATTTCATTATGAAATATCGATAAATTTAAAAAAATGAAGTGCTAATTTCCCTACAAAAATCATACGATTCCTGTAATTATAATACACTAGCGGCCCGCTCCGGCTCCGCTCGAGAATTTAACAAAAATTTCAACGATATTCGACGTTGTATTATTTTTTAAAATTAAAGAACACTTTTTGCTGCATAACTATAATAGTTAGACATATGGTGTCGCGACACTTTTTGTAAATAATAATGTGTTCTACAAAGTCGTAGTACACTATTTTATTCTATCATTAATAGTTTTCGCAGGGCACGCGATGTCAAGAATATTTAGGTAATTTTTTTATACCTTCAGTTCAGTAGTTTCGGAGCCTATTCAATACAAACAAATCTTTCCTCTTTATAATATACAGCGAAAAAAAATTTTACGTGCTTCTTCTTTTTCAAAAGACTGCAATTATCTCCAGCCCTTTCTCGTAGCTTTAATTAGACAGTAAGTATAATAACACAGAAACTCAAAGTGGACCTTACCCATACTCCACATATCAATGGCCGGTCCGTACTGCAACCCTAGTATGACTTCGGGACTCCGGTAGAATCGGGACTGTATGTATGTGTAGACCCGAGCGTCTGTATAGCAGGAGCTGCCGAAGTCAATAACCTTGATGGAGGAACTGCCCCTGGCCTTCAGCAAGATGTTCTCCTGAGAAATAAAATTAGTCTTGTAAATCACTATGGGATAGTCTGCCATCGATGACCTCACCCAAGGTTCAGACGCTGGTTGTTGAGTAACAGGCGATTTTAATGGGTTTAAGTCCGACATGCCCCACCTACCGTCCCTAACGCGTAGTTCTGGTGTTTGGCGTCTAGAAGTCTGGCGATTTTCTCCAGATCCAAAGAAATGTAATATGGAAACTTGTGTCAGTGAGTAAACTTTAAAATCTAGTATGTTGTAACTGCGGCAACACGGTTTAATTTGATTTAGTGGAGCAGGGGGAAATTTTGTTACCAAAGTCCATAGAAGGTCCCGCTTCCTCTAAACCTCTCTTGAAATATAAGCCCCAATCTTGATGATTTTTATGACTATGACTAAGTATTGCTGTTTTATTTTTATAATCATGAAAAGGTCAAAAATTAATAGTACTCGATGCAGGTTTTTTTTTATTGCTTATATGGGTGGACGAGCTCACAGCCCACCTGGTGTTAAGTGGTTACTGGAGCCCATAGATGTCCACAACGTAAATGCGCCACTCACCTTGAGATATACGTTCTAAGGACTCAGTATGGTTACAACGGTTGCCCCACTCTTCAAACCGAAACGCATTACTGCTTCACGGCAGAAATAGGCAGGGTGGTGGTATCCTCCCGCGTGGACTCACAAGAAGTCCTACCACCAGTAATTACGCAAATTATAATTTTGCGGGTTTGATTTTTATTACACGATGTTATTCCTTCACCGTGGAAGTCAATCGTGAACATTTGTTAAGTTCGTATTTCATTAGAAAAATTGGTACCCGCCTGCGGGATTCCAACACCGGTGCATCGCTCGATACGAATGCACCGGACGTCTTATCCTTTAGGCCACGATGACCAATACCCGACTGACTTAATTTGCAAATTACCAGTATTGTGTCTCAATGAGGAAGTTGGACGCCCTTAAGAAGATATGGCTTACTTACTTTAAGATATCGATTCCGTATGTGGTGTAGATTTCATTTCTCCTTAAATATATCTAAAACAGAAAACTAACCGGTTTCAAGTCGCAGTGTATGATGTTCTCAGCTTCGAGGAGCCGAAGACAGCGCAGTAACGAGCTAGCGAACCTTCTGATGAGGCTCAAACTGAAACCCTGATAGTTATTCTTCTTTATCAGCTCGTACAAGTTGATGCTGGAAGCAAATAAACAATAATAATGGACTACATTTCAAGCATTCAATCATTCGTCTATTTTTCGAGAAAATATGATAAATCTTGTAAATAAATAATGTAACTATGGGTTCCAGTAACCGCTTAACACTAGGTGGGCTGTGAGCTCATCCACTCATCTAAGCAATAACAAAAAAACGACTCTGGCCTCTTCATGATACCAATACTAACATAAAACTTATATTATCGTTTGGAGCCTCTGGGTCTGCGGAGGGACTTCGGTTCCCTCTGTATTTTATACCGTATGTTCCATGGGGAGTGCTCTGAGGAATTGTTCGAGATGATACCAGCATCTCGTTTTTACCATCGCACCGCCCGCCACCGGAGTAGAGTTCATCCATACTACCTGGAGCCACTGCGGTCATCCACAGTGCGTTTCCAGAGGTCTTTTTTGCCACGTACCATCCGGCTATGGAATGAGCTCCCCTCCTCGGTGTTTCCCGAGCGCTATGACATGTCCTTCTTCAAACGAGGCTTGTGGAGAGTATTAAGCGGTAGGCAGCGGCTTGGCTCTGCCCCTGGCATTGCTGAAGTCCATGGGCGACGGTAACCACTCACCATCAGGTGGGCCGTATGCCCGTCTGCCTACAAAGGCAATAAAAAAAAAATAAAAAAAAAAAAAAAAAACGAGATACGTAAATGTATATGTAAAAGAAAAATCTTTTTCAAATAAAACCTTTAAAACTCTTTAGTTGTAACAAATAATTTTCTTAGACGGCATCACTTACCTGTCTATCGTTCAGTAAAAAGAGCAGTTCAGTTTTGCATAATATAATAATATTGTTTAAAATATTAATTTAAAATGAGATTAAGGGCTTTAAATGTTAATTTCTGTAACACAGAAAACGCAATTAAGTTTTTTATTGTTTATTCATTCTGAAGTGTTCCATATCATTAAAAAAATTTTTTTAAACTAACGAGTTTTAAAGATTCTATAAACTATATTATCATACACTAAGGCTGCATGTATCTTATATATCATGTATCTACTAGCCTTAACTAGGCTCATGATAAAAATACCTACTTATCAATCACAGTCAGCGTTCTGTTGAAAGTTTCGTATCGAGATTAAAAAACAGGTTTAACCTCTTTAGGGACATTGGCATAATAATTTAAGTATGTGTATGTTTGGTTTTTTTTCAATTATTTATATATTCAACTCTACGTCAAATGCCCACATATGTCAACTAATTTTTAAAAAATTGTATAGTCGCTATTTTTGTATTTTTTTTTAACCTATTGATTTGTTTTGAATATAAAATGAACAATTCACAATAAAGAATAATTTAAATTAATGTTTTTTGTTCTTTCGTCCCTAAAGAGTTTGAGTTTGAATTTCGTATTGATTTTATTGAATTATCTACCCGATCTTCCTCTGATTATATCGATGTTAACGATTTAAACAGGGAAGATAACCTTTAACGACGTGAAAACTTAAGAACACTAGACGTGAATGCGATCAGGGTAAGTCTAAAACCAGTCGAACTATTTTTGACGGTCTTTTTTGCTCGATATTTTCCTCATTTATCTTAATTTAGAGAAACAAAACCATCCGTCAAGTTACCTAGAGGAGTGCGGGAAATAACACAAAATATTGGGAACTGTACGCACTACGGAAACATGCCTGGACCAAAACTAATTTCCAGTACGCGGCCGAGCCTAATAGTTTCACGATATTTTTTATCTCAGTTTACAGTTTCCATTGTTTTCCATGCATTGTAATTTCGTGAACCAGGATAACTGATAATTAATGAAAAGCATTAACGATAAAGATGAAACGCAAACTGGCTAATCCCTTTCAGAATTATTTTGGTCATAAACGAATTAGAAGGTTGCGTTAGCGATTTTACCAAACATTTTAAAACGATCTTCATCTTATCTACAATAATAAAAATCGCAGTGTTTGTGTGAATGTAATTTTCATATAGAAAGCTACGCTATAAAATAGCTGTTTTCACGATCTTTTTGGGCCAATGCCTACAATAAAGAACTATCTATTTTTATTTCGTAATATAATAGAATGGAACTGAAACTTATTTCTAAATTGACATATTTGAAAATGTTACTAAGATTTCGAACAAACCTGCACTAGAACTAAGAACATTTTGCTTTTTGTTTGTTTGTTTTTTTTCCTACCTAAGCTGAGAGCCTTGAGAGGCTATATCAGCGTAACCTTAACTAGTAGGTGAGCTCACAGGGCTCAAACCTGACGACGTTGCTAACACGAACCCTAGCAAGAGCCGTGCCTCGCAGAATTTATCTCCGGATCGGAAACGCGACCCACTGAGAAGATCCGGCGAGAAACTCAGTGGGCTGTGTCTGAGGGTTCATAGCGACGGTTTCGACGAGAACGATGACCGGAGCTTGGGGTACCTAAAAGCACCGTTAGTGCATCGGGAGGATCCGAAATGATGTGTTTGGGGCGACGTCGATTGCTTTCCATTCTGTCCGCAGGATCGGGAATGGCATGAACATTTGCTGAAACCAGAACTCACCTCATCAATTCGAAACTAATGCACAAATGATTCCTGAAGTAAAAGTAATCCAGCATGTGGATCACGTTATGCGACTGGTCCTTGTCTTTCAGCCGGAGGTGGTCCAACACCCTGACTTCAACCAGGGCCTGGTGGTGGAAGCGCTTCTTGTTCCTGATGATTTTTATCGCTACCTGCTCACCGGTGCGATGGTCGAGAGCTCTGATAACTTGCCCGAATGAACCTTTCCCTATTATTTCGAGGATCTCGTATCTGTACGCGATGTGGTCGTGGATTTGCTGGAACAGATGTGAAATGATGAAGAATTATGCGTAAAAGTATAATCGACTAAATCAAACCGATTATTTCGGGTCATTTACAATACATTGCGAACTGTGAACGCTCTTTCAGTTATGTACATTACAGAAGTTTAAACCAAGTGGAATGTCCATAATCCCGAACAGTCCCGTGCAGTCTCTTCTCCTATATCACTCGACCTTCGTGCCCTCGTAGCTCAGTTGTTTCAAAGCACAGGCAAGCAAGAAATTACGTTGGAGAGATTTTAAAGGGCCAAATCGCGGTTTATTGAAAGCAAGAACTGCTAACTACCTAATGATTGTAGATAACGTTTAATTCGAACGAAAATCAAATCTACGAAGCATGAATTGCGTTCACGCGTGCTCAGAATCTACGTTTAGCCACGAGTTTGTACAAAAGACTTGCTTCGTTGTTGAGTTGCGTATATCAGAACGTCATCAAGAATTATGGTTGCATTTAAGTACATTCGCCAGCCGAAGCTAATAACGAGTGTGTTAGTACGATATAAATATGTCTAAATTAGAAGAAATATCGACAGCAGCAATGACAGATAACCAGTGGCCGTGGAGCAGTAACGCGTTTTGGTTTAAAGAATGGGGCAACCGTTGTACTGTAAAAACTGAAGCCCTAGAACTCATGTCTCGAGGTGGGTGGCGGCATTTACATTTGGGATACTAGCTCTAAGGTCTCAGTATAGTTACAAGGGCTGCCCCACCCTTCAAACCGAAACGCATTACTGCTTCACGGCAGAAATAGGCAGGATGGTGGTACCTACCCGTGTGGCCTTACAAGAGGTCCAGGGTACCACCAGTAATTACGCAAATTATAATTTTGCGGATTTGATTTTTATTACACAATGTTATTCCTTGACCGTGGAAGTCAATCGTGAATAATTGTTAAGTACGTACTTCGAAAAATTGGTACCCGCCTGCAGGATTCGAACAACGGTGCATCGCTACGTGATCGCTACAAACGAATGCCCCGGACGTCTTATCCTTTAGGCCACGACGACTTTAAAACTTAGTAGCTTAAATATACCCAATGATAAATTGAGGCAAAGGTAGTTGAAGTTCTGATGGATCACATGCAAATATACCAAGAACTAAACATACAAAGCTATGGGCTTCTCTGTAATTGAGTTGCAAAATAGGATCGTTCCTTTAAATAGATAAAATTTGCATCGATTAATTGTAAGTAGACATGCTTTAATAAAAACCGACTTCAAATAAACAAAAAGATATTCCAAAACAGATTAATATACGCTAAAAACAATAATCATCGAAATCGGTTGGCGTGATATTGAGTTATTCGTCTATTTCTCGCGCACGTACTTAATGCAAATTTAAGACTTAACATGGTTTTCTCATGGATACCATTATCAGAACTAGACCAAATGGGACCACACGGGAAGCGTCAACTTTCTAATAAAAAAAGAATCATCAAAATCGAATCACCCAGTCAAAAGTTATGAGGTAACAAACATAAAAAAAAACATACAGTCGAATTGAGAACCTTTATTTTTTTGAAGTCAGTTAATAAGTTAAGTTATTCAATGTTTCTGTTATAGAAGGAACTAAGCTTAGATGCAGACCTTGTTATAACTCCCGTTTTCATCGTCGAATCCGCAATTGTTCGGCAGGTTGGACCTAGCCTGAACCTTGTTGGACTCCAAGCCAAGGAACCAGATCTGAGGGTACTTCCTTATCTCGTTCCTCTCCCATTCCGTTAGTCTTTCGCCGTACAGCTTCAGTGCTTCTGGAATTAAATTAGAAGGTCAACGCAAACTTAGAAATGGTAATTAATAAGTACTAGGATCCAATACTATCCGAGACAGGGAAGATAGAGGGAAAGAGACCACGCGGGCACAGCTTGACTAATTGGTTCTATCAAATCAGCATTACACTAGAAACCCCATGCCACAAAACCCTTCACGCGGCCAATGATCGGAAACGTTGGAAGGCATAATAAAAAATAAAATCCTGTCTAAACATGTTCGTCACGACCCTCAGCAGTGAGGTAGCTGGATCCAGGTGGCAGAGTTCTGAGATCATGAGGCTCTGTGTTACCTTATTATACACGATCTTTCTTTTAACTGCCATAGATACATAGACGTACTCACGACCCTGATATTAAACCCTTACTGAAGACCAGACTGATTTGTAAGCCATCGAGCACCTTAACACGTTGACTTCCCTGTAGGTCACCGGTGCCCTACGCGGCGCACTGAAGCAATTCGAACTGAAGAAATCGACATAATTACTTCAGTGCGCCGCGTAGGGCACCGGTGACCTATATGGCAGTCAAAGGGTTAAAAGATGAGGTCGAAGCGGGATAGCGGACCTACCCGTACCTGCTGCGGAGTTGCAGTGTGCTGTTTGTATGTATGCTGATTTTGTTGACCTTGAACGCAGACGAACGTACGGCCCGTCTGATGGTAGGTAAGTGGATACCGTCGCCCATAAACAATAGCAATACCAAGGGCAGAACCAAGCCGCTGCCTGCTGTTAGGTCACACATCATACTCGCGCTATACCTAATTCGTTCTCCGGTAAATTCCAAATCCGTTCGTCGATTACAACACCGTAAAGAAGAAGAATGTTACTATTTACAGCCCATTCTGCCATTAGTTCATACGTAAATTTCCCGAACCAAAAAGTACTATTTTCACAAGGAGTCGACGATCTTGGAACGAGTCGGCTATTAAAATTCAAACTAAATGTACAACATGGATGCAGACAATGTCGACCAACCAAGTGGGATAAGTTCAAGATGAAGAACTGCTATCAACTCACAAGAGACATTCACAAATTACATCAATAACTCAACAGCTCCGAATCTCAGATAGATTCCATTATATCCCCTGATAATAATATGAAATATCATTACAAATGACTTATTATTTCACGAAAAATGTACAAATCGAAACGTGACGGCTTACTTAAAGAAATATCTCGATATAGAAACGCAATGTCGATATTTAATTTTTATAAAATGCAATATAATTTCAATTCAGCCGTGACACGATCCCAGGTGTGAGCGACAATAATGCAACCTTTTAAAGAGTGTTATCTAGTTAATGATATATGTTTGCTATTTGTGCTGAGATTTGTTTTAGTTTTATAATATCTATTTGTGAACTGTAATATGGTGAAGGAACGGAACGATAAATAAGACAACCGTTGACGATTATGGTAATATTTTGTTCTCTATAATCTTCAATGTTTATGATAATCATGTTTTGATCTTGTCGTTGTCAAAGGTCAAATAACGTCCACTGAGTTTCTCGCCGGATCTTCTCAGATGGACGCGCTTTCGATCCGGTAGTAGATTCAACGAAGCACTGCTCTTGCTAGGGATAGTGTCAGTAAATTCTATATAAATAATTTTTATCGTTGAGTAATTCGCATTTTGTCTGACTTTTTTCGATCTAATATAGGTAAACTTTACTTTACCTATCGATAATATTAACGTTCGAACCTATTTAAACTATTTTAAACAATCAAAACCTTAAGTAATTAATGTTAGAAAAAAAGCAAAAAAACTCTAAAAACTATGCGCACAATAGACACGACATTTTGTTTTAAGTCGCGAATCGTGCATTGACATAAAACTAGATTAATTAAAACTCCGCAAATTGCATCATCTCGATTAGGACGAGAGCAATCTGTAGCAGTCTATTTCGACAAACTGACAAACATTATTTGATTACAAAGTGTTCGTCTAATCAAAGCCCCGCCAACAAGAGCCTAATCAAGTGTCGTCCCGTACGCATTAATTAAAACGGGAATATTCGTGAAAGATTAATTGAGGTTTCGCGTGTTTTCAAACCGCCTCTAATGAGAGTCGTGATCGTAATATCGCGACGCCATCTTCGTTATTAATGCGATAATTCGATTCTGCAATAACATAACCAGAGTCTTTGAACAGTAATAATCAATAGTAACAATAATAGTTAAGAAGTCGTCGTGGCCTAAAGGATAAGAGGTCCGGTGCATTCGTGTTGAAGCGATGCACCGGTGTTCGAATTCGAGGCGGGTACTAATTTTTCTAATGAAATACGTACTCAACAAATGTTCACGATTGGCTTCCACGGTGAAGAAATAACATCGTATAATAAAAATCAAACCCGCAAAATTATAAAATGCGTAATTACTGGTGGTAGGACCTCTTGTGAGTCCGCGCGGGTAGGTACCACCACCCTGCCTATTTCTGCCGTGAAGCAGTAATGCGTTTCGGCTTGAAGGGTTGGGCAGCCGTTGTAACTATACTTGAGACCTTAGAACTTATATTTCAAGATGGGTGGCGCATTTACGTTGTAGATGTCTATAGGCTCCAGTAACCACTTAACACCAGGTGGGCTGTGAGCTCGTCCAACCAACTAAGCAATAAAAAAAAAAAATGTTTTGTCAGCATCGCAAAAAAATTAATTAAAATTTTTAATAACTTCAATGGTCCAAGTAAGTCCTTATAAAGGTTTTTTTTTATGTTATTATCCATTATACAGAAGCAATTCAAATTTTCGGTACACAAAAGCCCAACGTATATGAAAGACGACTTTTTTGGTAAAAATAAAAATGACTTGAAAGCAAATATAGGGTTGAACGGACAAAATACTCTTTTGTTTAACTGAATTACTGGGTAAATAATTCTCCAGTTATTTCCCGATGTTTTTTTTATCTATTGCTTAGATGGCTAAAGGAGCCCACCTTGTGTTAAGTGGTTACCGGAGCCCATAGACATCTATAACGTAAATGCTGCCAGCCACCTTGAGATATGAGTTCTAAGGTCTAAGTATAGTTACGAAGGCTGCCCCAGCCTTCAAACCGAAACGCATTACTGCTTCACGGCAGAACTTCTGGTAGGTTGGCTATTAACTGGTGGTAGGACCTCTTGTGAGTCCGCACGGGTGGGTACCACCACTCTGCCTATATCTGCCATGATCTCAAAAGTTTTGTCTATTAGACAATCATACCTAGTAATGGCAACTGGCAATAATAACCGTAATTTTTTTTAAGAAATGTATGTACAAAAAATATAATACATGTATAATACAAATATATAATATACCTTTTTCATTTAATTTATTATTTCATAGTTGATTATTATATTATTTAATGTCAAGGTGGCTCCAATAAAGACTAAACAGCAGGGGACTCGTGAGCCCGTCTACGAAAAGTTATTTACTTCTAATTTGCTAACAAGACTAGGAAGCCGGCTTAAGAGTTCTAACTTTATCAGTTTCCTTGGCCGATATCAATTGATTTCAATCAGGTAGATTATTAGCTCGTTTGTTGTTAGGTACTGAGAAAAAACAGAAAGACAATAACTTCAACAACATTAAGATTAAGTTTCACAAACCAATTTCGTAAATTCCTTTTATACGTACCTCCATATATTTATGTTTATTTTTTTTGTTGAAGTCTCAACTTCTAGTTTGCAATTTCTGATCATTTATTCAAAGTAATCTTTGCCTAAAAATAATCGCATTAGGAATAAATAAAACTTAACGCGTTCAATTAGAAAGAAAAATCCTAATATGCAGTTTTATAGAAAGAAGTGTCAACCCTAGTACCAAGCTGTCCGAACCAATCCGCTTATAACGTTGAATGACGCACGTCGGTTTTCGTTTGCATAGATTCTTTACTAGCCGTACTTGATTAAATCCATTGAATCGAAAAAAATATTCAAAATTTATATTAACTTGAGTGTGCTTTTGATTAGCTGAAATGGGTTTGTGCGCTCACTGCCTAGACCTGCCTATCCTTAATAATTTATCCAGATAACGGAGTCATTTCCGACACAGACTTCAAAAATAAGGATATTATTAATTTCGCTGTTTATTTGTACGTTTTTTTTTTTTTACTAACAATCACGCCACGTTAACTGTTCCCGTGATAAGTTCGTAAAGAACTTGTGTTACAGGTACCAGATAACGGAAATAAATGTAAGATTTTTATTATACACATGCATATATTTAATATACATCCATAACCCTGGAAAAGACATTTATATTTATCATACAAATATCCTCCATTGGCGGGATTCGAACCCGCGACCCCCTTGTGTAGTGACCATGTCACTTACCACTACACCAGACGGCCGTCAAAACACCAGACGTTTGTTACCTTGGCACGCTTTTACAAATGTTTACGAATTTTCTCACATTTCTCTCGTAAAATTTTCATCAAAATAGTTTCAGTTTGATTTTTTAATCACGATAAACGAAATAAAATTATCATCCAAGTAAAAATTGTGTATATTGCCGTTGTATTCATTCATGTGTATCGAAATTGATTTTTAAGTTTTTTTGATTTTTACTGGTGGTAGGAAGGACCTCTTGTGAATCCGCACGGGTAGGTATCACCACCTATTTCTGCCGTGAAGCAGTAGCTAATGCGTTTCGGTTTGAAGGGTAGGGTAGGTAGGGTAGCTATACTGAGATCTTAGAACTTATATCTCAAGGTGGGTGGCGCATTTACGTTGTAGATGTCCAGTAACCACTTAACACCAGGTGGGATGTGAGCTCGTCCACCCATCTAAGCAAAATAAGAAAATAAAAAAATTACAATCTAAAAAAAATGAAGCCATCTTTAGAATTATTTATCTATGCTGTATCATCATAAATTTTCCGCAGTTTTTTCTCTCGTACCAATTAAGAGCGGTGCCCTGTTGACCTATTTCCAGCCCTGAAGGACGGCACTCTTAAGATAAATGACAGAGCAGCTTTTCTATCAATACTCTACATGGTCTAATGG